GATTCCATTGCTAAAACTTGTCTGAAGATGTTCTTTCTGGACAAAACATATCACAATACAATTTCTGTCTCATTTATATATAAATAAGGTATTTTCAAGTAGTAAGTATTCATTCTAACAGGTTTGATTTAAAAAAAAAAAAAAAAAAAAATACAGGTAGACCTTGTTGGTTCAAATTTTTAATTGTATTTTTCCAGTTTTTGAATACATTTTTGTGTATTGTGATAGAAATTGTGGATAAACTGTTCAGAATTCATCTTCATGTTGTTTATTTAAATACTTTCTACCTTCTTTTCAAGAACCAATGTGGTGTCTGTGTGGTAGGCAAAATTTCTTTGTCTTATCTTCTGGTATTTGGAAAGGAAATAGTCCATGGTGATGTCATGTTAAGAAGAGCATGGCTGCACCAAAAAGGATTTTTTTCTTTGTTTTTAAATATATAAATATGTGCATATTAAATATATCATATACATTTCAAGATATCAACTCCAGCAGTGAATGATATTTTATTTAATGTTGGCTGTTTATTTTGTATAATAATAGCTTCTAGGTTTTTTGAGTCTTTCCTGGCATTGGGTGCTGTAGAGTATTTTGGTATTATCTACTAATATTTGTCTTATGTTGATTGTTGTTCATGATGTGCTGGTTTATATGTGCACCAATTTTTGACAGGTAACATGTCCAACTGTGAGAGTGTGTGGTGCATGTGTGCCTGATGTAAGAATTTAATGCTGTTTATTTTATTATTAATGTTGGAGATGCAATCTCCCAGAGGGACTGAAAATTCATAAACATTATTTTTACATGGTTTGGTGGGGGAGAAATTATTGAGGTCCATGTTGTTAATGTAATTAATGATTAGGTTAGAAGTTTTAAACTTTTTACAGTAGATGATAAATCTGAGGTGTTTGTTAGGATCGTTCAATATTTTTAATTTCTTTTTCATTCTGTTTTTAATTAGGATGCATCTGGTTACGATCAAATAAGTTAATAGTATTTTTATTTGTTTGCATCAGGGTGATCTTTTTGTGTTGTTTTTTTTCTAAATTTTGTCCAGGCTAATTTTATTTGTTCATAGATGATGTGGTTATGGAAATTATTGATGCTGAGAATTTTAAATTAATTTTTTTTTTTTTTTTTTTTTTTTTAAATTTATGTTTTGGGCATATATCTTAGCTGATTTCATGAAGTTTCTTCTTTTTTTTTTCCCTTTCCATCACTTTTGTTATTAAATATCCCACACTGTGATGGTAGAAGATCTACCAAGAAAGGTGAAATGTTGTAAGAAACTGGACGTAAATTTAAAATTATCAGTGTCACCTCTTCTTTGTGTGCATGTGTCATTGCATTATCATAAACATCACCTTGGTTCAATGAAGTCCTAAAGGATGAAATGTGTCACATCACTTTCCACTTTGTCATAGATTTTTCCCTAAAACTGTTCTTGATATATAAAAATGTGTGTGTGTGTGTATATATATATATATATACATGTGTGTGTGTGTGTATATATACATGTGTGTGTATATATATATATATATATATACATGTGTGTGTGTGGAAAAATAATCAATCCAAGTAAATAAATTAAGTAAATAATAAACAAATTGACAAACTACTTCCACCAAAATAAGTATTAGAATAGACTACAAAAATCAATCCAAAAATTGGATGAAAAAATAGCTGTAATCATTTTCTCAGACCATAACAAACTGCTATATAAATAACCAGAACTCCTCTCAAAAATTTTTACTACGTTACTTAAAAATCAAAAAATGAAAAGAATAAATAAAAATATATAAAAAAAAACAAGTAAAATAAATAAAAAATAAATAAGCTAAAACAAGTAAAAATAATCACTCTAAATAAATAAATAAATAAAAAAATTAACAAACCACTTCCGCCAAAGTAACTGTTAGGATAGACTACAACAATCATTCCAAAAATTGGACAAAAAAATAACTTTCATTACTTTCTCAGACTAAAAAATTAAATAAACGATCAAAACTAATCTCAAAACAGTTTTTTACTACATTACTAAAACATTGAAAACTGAAAAGAATGAATAAATATATAAAATAAACAAACCACTCCCGCCAAAATAACAGTTAGAATGGACTACCCACAATACACCACTGACCCATATATATAGTCAAGAAAAAAAACCAACACATGTGGCCTGATGATTGTGTCTAGCATGAAACAATCTGCTTCCTCTGAGTGTTGACTTCAGTGTTCACTTTTGTATGTATATATGTGTGTGTCATTTTGGTTCTTGGTGTTTTTTCTTTCTTTATTTTATTCATTGAAGCAGGCTTTTAAAAGCCCAGTACTATTAAATTTTGAATTGCACAACTTGACTCTTTGGACTGCTCTTAAAATAAGCTGAACTAACAATGAGAAGAAAGTCAATTTAAAATTCAGTAGCAATTGACTTTCAAAAGTAGCCCAAGTCACTACTTGTGTAAGTTTTTGTCCTCGTACAGGGTGAACATCACTTGCAATAGAAGGTTATGAAGTAAGAAGTACAGTTTATGGAGATATGTAGGGAAGAGAGAGGTTGGCCCTAGACTTGAATAGATTATGATTGTAGTGATCAGCGAAGCATGCTCTTGGGAGTCAGTCCTACAAAGTAGTGGTTTATGGGAAAAAGCTGCTCAAGTGGAACTTGCATCACGTCACTGGAATACAAAGTGAATGAGAGTAGTTTGCTACAATGTTTGTGGCATGGTAGATCTTAACTGTGAAGGTTAGAATTGGTGGAACTAACGGATGTAATTCATCTGAGCCGTTTCCATGGAAATAGCGAAAAAGCAGCAAGGGGTTTGCTATGTTTCATCTGTGAAAAAGAGATTATAGGGTGGAAAATAATTTGTCACCCACAAGGACGCAGACACGCTTTTGGACTCTATCAAGACTAAAAAGCGAAGATTGGGCAGCTTTAGCCCATGTATGTCATCAATACTCCATTTTTGACCTGATCTGGCTTTTGTAAAGGATAGGAGGAGGAGTCAGGTACTTACTGGAGTGGTACAGAGAACCAACCATTTTTCCAACATCTTTAGTGATGGATGTATGCATGAGTTCCACTTGAAGTCTGTGACCAAATCTGAAGAAATTTCATGCCATGAAATGTTAGAGAAAGCCAAAAAATCAAAAAATAAATTTCCAGAAAATTATTCTGGATTTTTTTTTTTTTTTTTTAAAGAAAGAAATTATTTTAAAAAATCAGCCTTAAAACAAATGAATATATTAATAAATAAAAATAAAAACTTAATTGAAATAGAGTAAAATCTAATTTTTAAAATTAAAGTAAAAATCAAGCACTTGTATTCATGAATTGCATTTTGTCTCCTTAATATAGATTTTGTTGCACTAAAATCCATTTTTTGATTACTGGTAAAAATAGAATTTTTCCTAAAGGTCTTATATATTTAACATTCAAATGTATTCTCATTGATATATCTGCAAATAATATGCATTGCAATGTGATTCGATGACCAGACAAATACCAGAGAAAATTTAAACAGCTGTTTACAGACATACAAAGTTAAAGCTGTATGTGCAACAAATTAAGCACAGTCTGGAAACAAATTTTATATATTTGAAAGAACCCTACTCCCTGAATCTATCAGATTTTCATCCGAGTTGAAAAGACTCGTTTTATAACATGACCCACTTTGGTCGATCCTATGTCAATCTAGTGACGCTTGCCACATGCCACTTATACCAGAAGATGTCTTGCTCCTCAGGGTCATAGGACAATGAGTTGATACTGCTGCTGGTCAATGGTTGGTCAGTTGTTGGTTGCTGTCTGCCCCAGTTCACACCTTGCACTGCCCATGTGTTTCTTGATCCAAACTGATAGGGATCAAGTATTGTCAGTAATTGTAGTGCTGGTTATCTTATGATGAGGAAAAAATAGATATGACTTCATAGAAAAAACAAAAATGTAAAAAAAATTCTTCGCGTTAAATTTTCATATGGTTTATGTAGTTCTTTGTATGACAAAAATTAACCCTCCCCACTAAAATTGCTTTTGTGACACTTTGCCTGTCTGTGCTAATTTTTGGAACAGGACTCAGTTGGGGATTCTCTTGGCAGTAAGTCATGTGGATCTTAGTAGCACCTTTGTCTGCCCTTCACTGGTGTCTCTTGTCTCTCTCGCTTAAGCACTCTACTTATATTGACTTAAGACTAGAGCAGGAGCTGATGGTGTTTGGGAATTTTGGGGTTCCTCACATTTCTGTATTGATTTGAACAAGAGTTCTTTGTTTGGTCCATAATATTATCTCTCCAAATTTGGGAGATCTATTCTTCCTACAGGTAGTGGTTGCAGGTATTGGCCTGCCCGTATAACTCATTCCTTCTATTATTCATGCCTCGCATCATTATTTCCAAATGGATGTAGGTAATTCCTCCATCTCTCTTGGTATCTTATCTAAATGTGCTACCTTGACTGTCTTTTTGACGAATCTGATTTTTAAACTATGTAGGCAAAAAGGTGGTCTTAATTTTTAGTCATTAATTGTAATTACCTTAATTTTCAACAACAACATTTTTTTTCAACCTCTGGTCTTGTTTATGCAATTGGAGATTTACCAGCTGTCTCTTTTGACCCACTAATAGCAATTACCTATATTCATATCTTGTTTGCTTAATCATACTTATGAACCTTACAGGTTCATTTCTTATCTCAAAAAATTCTATTTCTCAATTTGTTTACATTTCCACTCTTTGACAGACAAGCATTCTTCTCAATTCTGCCTTCGTCTTCAAAATTACCAAATATTATAACTCAGTTGACCCTTTTCTCTGCCTGGCCATCATGAGACGTTTTCGTAACTTCCACTTTAAGTAAGTGGACATAAATCAATTTTTCCATTTCTGTTTCACTTCCAAAATTCTCAGCTGACTTTGAACCTAATATCACTATCCCTTCTTAGCCTTTGTGGTCTGAAATCATCGACATGACCCTTTAATATCTTTTCCCAAAACCGATGAAGTCATTCTTTTCAGATCTGTATTTTCTTCCTTCTTTCAGTTTATATGTTATTCTGTACTGTTAACCTTTTTTTGTCTGTTCCAGTTCATATTCTAAATTAACCCTTTCCTTTTACTAGTGTCACATAGTGTTACAATTTAAAAGATTTTGTTCAGTTATAACAATGTCTCAATTTGACCCATTGCAGAAATTCAGACAGAAATTTAAACAATTTTTTCTTTTAATCTTGATGCTAACTTTTGATTTATTTATTTGTAGTTGCTTAAAGCCCACCAAGAAGGAGTCCGTGGAGTTCTTTTCTATTCAGATTTTGATGGAAATGCTGATGATCATTGGAAGAATGAGAATCATAATACATCTGAACCTTACTTTATCTCCAGTTATACAGAAGGTAGTATTTTTTTTGTTTTTGTTTCATCTTGACTAATGTTTCTTATACAGAATCTGAAACTTTGGCTGGCAATGTAACACTTACTGGGGCGTTCTGGAGTTGACTCTTAGTCACTGCCACCAATATGTGACCCTGTCGATTGGCAGTCATCGCTACCTGGCAGGATCCTTTCGTCAGAGTATCAAATGGGATGATCGGTTGATTTTAACAGCACAAATATGTATGCAGCTGGTTCGACACCAGCTCCGTCATTCTCAGCTCACTTCCAATAACTGGTTATCAAAGTAACTACTTTGATATCAAGTCTAACCTACCCACGTTGTGATTTTGATCTTAAGTAGACTAGATCAATCAGACACTGGGGCTGTAGTGTGAGTCTAAACTGGAGGTGACGTCTCACAAGGAAAAAGAAATAAATGAAAACCAAAAAGGTTCGGGTATGTTTAAAGAAAGTAAATCAACTTTTATAAGTCTGTTCTATACAGGAGTGTGTTTTCTTCCCAAACCGTTTCTTCTGAGAGTGACACTTTTATACTTCTAGGAAAGTTCTGGTCTTCTGCTTTAGTTTTTAGGTGTTGACTTAGCTTTGTTCATCAGTGTAACTTGCTGTTTGTAGAAAGGCGAAGTCAGAGGTTCTAGTGTCGGCAGTGGAATCTCTGTCAGCTCTCTCGTAGCTCTCCAACTGCAAAACACTAATTAGCAAACTGCCCGAGGGTGCTTGCTTATATGGACTTCAACCAAAACCCTGGTGCGGGGTTAGACGCAGTCTGGGGTTTTTGGTGAATCCCTGATTTCCAACAAGGGCCCCTTTGTTGTTTAGCCAGAAAAATTAATTACTTCCCATTTTTGGAAAATTAATTACTTCCTATTTCTGGGGGGAATCTCTTCACCCATGAGGAGAGGTTGCAGGATAGCTATCCTCCTAAACTCCTTCCTTACATTGGTACCTCACACCAATTACTTTCAGTGGGCGTTCTTCTCCATCTCTCTTACTATTTTACCTCCGCCTATCACCACTGCTACCACATGCATGACCAATGGCATCTTGATCATGCTGGTGTGGCTAAGCTTGCTTCATTAATTAACTCTTTGATATCACTGCTTATTCAGGATTTGTTATCCTGTTTCCAGATCATGAGCAGTTTAGAATTATCAACTGGAACTTTGTTTATGCAAATCCTTTTTGTGCCCTTCCAAAATTCCTACAATTAACACATGGCCCTCTCGTCTGGCCATTTTCTTGGTCATATTACCTGTTTACACAATATCTATGCACATAGATTGCATCTTCATCGATTCTGGTTATTCTGTGTTTTCTTAACCAGCACTTTTAATGACCATCATTAATCAATTGTCAGAGATTGCCACATTGCCCTTTTTGTAAAATTATTGTTGACGCGAATCTTCAGTTTCTTGAAAAGAATAGACTTTTTGAAAAAATAAAATCTTATGTTGATCGGTATATTCTTCAGGATATCTCTTAACCCTTCTTTTCTGTTTTCAGCATTTTCCCGTTCAATTTTTATGGCTAATTAGTTAATTAATTACCATAGCTAAATAGTGTCACAACAGTATATCTATAATTTCTCTGTCTCCACATAGATTTCCATGTGACAATTTATTTGCATTAAAATCTAGATGAGTTAAATATAGGTACCCCCACAAAAACACTAAAAAGTCAGCATACCATGATGAAAACATGCTCCAAACGTAATAAAAACATAATTTTATCATCAAAATCGTTATGTTATTAAGAGGAAGGATGAAAGTAATTTTTGAATATTTAATTCCATTTTTTATTCCTTTTTGGAACATTTGAAATTTTGATTAAAAAAACTTGTTTTCCCTGCATCAACGATTGTACTAACTTTTAGGATAGCAAATTTTGGCCTCTTTTTTTGCAGTGACAGACACATTAATTTGGAAATTCTTGCAAAAATCAAGTAATTGGCAGATTTTAATTAAATTTTCACAAATGAAATTTTTTTTATTAGAACATCTTGGTAAAAAAATTTTTTTTTTTTTTTTTTTATACATGTTTCAGCTCCTTACTTAATTTTATGAAAACTTGAGAAATTCAATGAGATAATTTTTAGTGACTATTGTTAATCTTCATAAGTTGTCCCCCTTGACAACTCTTCAACTGAAAAAGGGTTGATATGCATGTGGAGGACAAAGAAGTTGAATAAAACATTCTCTTTCTATTGTGTGTCCAAGTTCATTTAAATTAACTTTACAACTATATTAGTTAAAAGCAGAATTCTTTGAAGAATTTAAACTGTTTTTTTGTTTTTTGTTTTTTTTCATCTCACCAAAAATCTGTTCTGTATTGAAAAATACATAAACGCAATAAAACTAAGACATTATTTAATTGGAGAAGCTTTTAATTGCTTTTATGAATCATAAAGACAATATTTTCTGTAAAAAAAAAAAAAAAAAAAATTAAAAAAAAAAAATACTACAAAAAATAAATTTTTGCAAGATTTGTTTTCATTTTTTTACAATATGAAATTGAATAATTTATAAAGTTTTTAAATATTTTTAAAATCATTTTCAATGTAATAATTCTTAGAAAATATTAAGTAAAACTATTGTAAAGCTTATTACAATGTGATGACCATGAATATTTTTCAAAGAATTTTGATTTGTTTTTGTATGTGTGATTATGTGCAAAATATCTGAAGTATTGATGTACAAACTAATAAATCTAGCATTAAAAGTTAATGTGTTTTAAGGGTTGTCCCCCACTTACGGTGGAAAAAAAACAAGACTTTATCGTTTGCTCCACCATACTTAACTATGAACATGTTCAGCTGTTGATTGACTGTCAATAAACTGATTAACACATCAGTAAAACAAGAAATGTTTGTATACAACATTTTATGCTATAAGTAAGTAATATTTGTTTCAAATCGGATTAATCTAACTTTAAATTTGCTAATTTTCCTCAAATAACATTTCATATTTTAATTTTGCAAGATTTTTAAAACTGAGAATTAACTTTTGTTTACAAATCTGTCAAAAATGGCCGTTTTGATTGATTTTAATGAAACTAAAAATTGATTCCAATCAATATAATTTCTGTTTGAAATACACCACAGAGTATTTTGTTTACTGGAAATCGTAAATTTTAAATCTTTTAGCTTTCAATGAAAATTTCAGGAAAGCTTTTTCATTTTTTAAAAAATTCATTTTAAACCTTACATATACTGAATTAGTGGAGGTACCTAGTTCAATATCAGCTCTTTTCTTGGAACTTGAAGAACATGTAGAGTCAGGAGAGTTGGGACCAGCAATGATGGGTATTTTAGAATCGTAGCCATCTTAAGTCTCCTTGTCTCTTCTTTTTCATTCTTCCAAACCTCCTCATGTTACACTTTACTCATTGTATGAAATTTTTAATTTAGTAACTTTATAAAGATGTCCCTTCATTCAAAAATTATTTGACACCCAGCCGTCGGCCCGTGGTCAACTCCCAGTTGCAGCGCGAAGCTCTGTTTCTTCTACCGGAGTTTTGGGGTTGACTCTTTGTTGCTGCCACCAGCCTGTGTCCCAGTCGATTGGTGGTCATCGCTACTTGGCGAAATCCCATGGTCAGGATACCAATATGGGACACTGGCTCGTTCAGGGTTGAATTCTGGTCGTCGATGTTAACGGCTTCACTAGCTGTACCGGTTCAATACCAGTTCTATCGTTCCCAACTCACTTGCAATGTCTAGTTACTGAAGTAACTGCTTTGATCTCAAGTCTAACTTACCTGAAGATTGTGTTGTGCATGAAATATGTATATTTATTAATATATATGTGTATGTATTCTAAAAATTCTGGTTGTGAGTGATCAATTTATGAGGACAGTAATTATTTTCTCTGATTACTTTTTTTTTTTTCTTTTTCTTTCCCCATTGTAGGTCATTTGCCTGGGACATTGGACTCTTTCCCATATGTGTACAACATCTCTTCATCTTTGGCATTGCAAATACTTTCCATTCTGGGAGAACCAAAGCTATCAAGAAATGGGTCAGACCACCTCAACACCAGCAAACACTATTCAGGTGAGTCTGAGGGAAATGTTAAATGTCAGATTCTCTATTAACTTTTTTATTTGTTAAATCGGAAAATTGGATGTCAGTAATAAATTCAATTTTTTTTTTTTTTTTTATTCCTTATTCTCATGACACAACTATTTAATCCTGTCTTAAAGGTCAGTTAGATTGGTTCAATACAGTCAAATTGGCAACTGAACTCAAAAATAACTTTCAATCTGTTGTTAACTGAGACAAGAAGTTGCTTGTTAATTTTAATGCCTCTAAAGCAAAATTGCTCTTTTCTGATCACCATAGAGAACCTTTTTTGCCTGCCATCAGCATGGCTGATGCTAGCCTCCAGGAGAGCAATTGTGCACCTTCTTTGTCTCATGTCTTCCACTGACAGAGTGGAATGATTATATTGAATTTATTGCTAAATCAGCTCCTAGGAATGTCAGTTCACTATGTCATGTTAGACGATTTTCTTTGCCAGAATTTATCTATCTTGCACATTTATAACTCTACTATTTGTCCATGCATCAAATGTTGTTGCCACATCTGGTCTGGTGCTTCTGCTATGTGTCTAGAGATTTTTGATAAAATCCTAAAAAGAATTGGAAACATTATCATTCCTGACCCAGCATCTCAACTCCAGTCACTTTCTCACCCCCCATAACATTGCTTTCTTTTGCCTCTTCTAAAAATATTTTTGTGATAATTGTTCTGATGAGCTTTCTTCTTTGGTACCTTAATCATGAATTTAAGCAAAGTGCTACATGGGCAGCTAGGTCTTACAATTTCACTGTTGAAATGGTTAGATATATCCATAAAGTCTTTGCTAATAGTTTCTTCTCTCTTGCTTTTCGCTTGTAGAACTCATTGGTTTCTTGCTTCCCAGTTAACTTTGATCTTCAAAAATTTAATGCAGTGTCAATTGTCATTATCTGTTTCCTTGTATCCTATCCTTTTATTGTCCTCTTTGATTGTTTCACTCCCAGTAAGCTCTTGCATCCTAGTGACTTCATTGCCTTGATTGGTGTGAAATGATTAAAAAAAAAACATTCCAGTACATGGCACATAATTTTATTCTCGGCCATAACAGAGCAAAGAGAAGATAACCTTAATCAAAGAGTCTCATATGAAGTTCAATGCTATCTGTCTATATTTCTGAGATGAAGTATTATGTACATTATTTACATTATTCAAACTATCATCCTCATCTTTGTTGCCATATTTATTACAATGTTTTGGCCGTTGTATGCTGCGTCCTTCTTCAGGTGGTTGGAATTATTTCACTCACTGGGGTAGACTGTTCTAGTTCCACATGCCATATTTAATGGATGTCGGTTATCAGTTATCTCCTGTTAATTACCCTCTTAAAGTTCTCCACTGCTATATCCGGGTATTGAACTCACAATCTTTGGGTCCTGTCACTGGATCTAACCAACGCCTTTATCCACTGTGCAATGTGTCCTTGAGCGAAATAAAGGGTTAAGTTCAACATTCCAATCATTTGAAGAAGGCCGGAGTGTACAACGGCCGAAACGTTGTAATAAATATGGCGACAAAGATGAGGATAATAGTCCGAATAATGTAAATAATGTTCAATGCTGTCCTCAATTTACTGTAAATGTTTGAACGTTTAAGATTAGATAATGTTAAGAACTGTATAATTCTTTCTCATTGTTGTGTTTTTGTCAAAATGTTTTTCCTTAAGGAAAAATAGCCAAAATATTGTAATCAAATTCTAAAAGGGTGCTTATCGGAAAGATTTATAGTAGGTTGATATCAGTTGTTGATGCTTAATAGTGACAAGGAGAGATTCCTGTCAGCCCACAAGACTTTTGACCTTGCTCTGTACATAATCATTGGTTGTTTTGTGCTTCCAGTATGAGATGTCAGGGAGGTTTCTGAAGCATTTATTCTTGTATGCCTGGACCTTTTTTTCCTGCCTCAACCAGGAATGTCCAAGTCTCACACTCGTAGAAGAGCAAGACCATCATGCAAGGCACTGTTAAAGTTGAACGTAAGCAGGGATGGCAATGCAAGAGCTGATCAAGACAACATGAAAGAGTGAACTGACATGAACATTCCAGAACTCCTGAGAGCCACTGCCAACAGGTCATTCTAGAGGGGGTTGTCTGTTTCTTCTGTCCTTAGGTCCTCCCTCAACAATTGAAACCATTAAGGGACTGATGATGAGTCTTCTGTCAAACACAACATATAAACATGCTTTATTATGCAAATAAATACATGTGCATAGGAAAGTAATTTTGTTCTGTGTAAATAAATTTAAAAAGTAAAGTTAAATTAAAACAATTCAGTTGGAAATTTTAAGTATTGTCTGAAGGTCTGAGATGAGTATCTTCATCTTTGTTGTGCTGGTTTCTGCCTTTGTGTCTTATCTGGCATTTTTCAGGTCAGTGTCACATTTTCAAGGGAGCTTTGAATAGAGTACCTTGCTTCGTTGACATTATTATTATTTTTTTAACTAGGCAAATTTTGCTACCTTAAAACAATTTCCATGTCTCCAAATTACATAGATTCCTCTTATACTTAAAATATTTTTTTTCTTAATGAAGGTGATCCAATCAATATTACTTTGAAGTTTGCTTCTCATTTGAAGACAGTGACAGTTTCAAATGTGGTTGGAACACTTTATGGCATCAATCAACCAGGTAAGAATACAGGATATTGTTTGTTTATTTTTAAATTTATTGTGTTACTAATAACAATACCAAAAAACAAAATGAAGTATGGCATATAAGACCTCTCCCCTCCATTTGCATGTAATATTACAGTATTATGGAGTTAAGGTAGGTACAATCTGAATTAAGGTAGGTACAGTTTTGGCACTATCTTAAATCTGCTACCATTTAGTTCATTGAGCAGTTACAAGGGTAGCACCAGATATTGTTTACAACTTTCCACAGCAGCCAACAGCAGCAGCAGTGTTTTGGTGATACAGTCTTGCTCATTTGTTATATGTAAGTACAAGCTATATTTGCAAGTATGTATGATTTTGGGGTTTGAGGCTTTTGTTTAGGCTTGAAAACCTTGTTTGAAAGCGTTAATGATTTGTTTTATTTGCTTTGTTTTCCCCTTTAAAACACATCGTTATATATATATATATATACACACAAAAAAAAACTAACAAGACTGTTTACATAGGGGTGATTTTTGTCATCCAGCATTTTCTGTGGTCTGAAGTGGCCTTGTTGCAGGGGTGCTGAATTAAAGAGGTTGGACTGTACAAGTATTGGTAGTCTATGGCATCTTAGTAAACATTAGCTTACCAGGCACTTCAGCTTCACATATAAGATCTGGAATATATTTTTTAAGTACTTTTTTTTTGGGGGGGGGGAATAGGGAACTTGCATGCAATCAAATGCAGCTTTTAAATAAACTGAAATGAATTTAAATATTGGTGGGCATAATATTCAAGTTGGCATTGTGGGGCTGGTATAAAATTCCAAAAGTTTTGTGTTAGTAAAAAAAAGCAAAAATGATATTATATTTGGAGTTCCAAAATGGAGTATTGTTACTTTTCCACAATTTATCCAGTGTAGCATCCCTATCTTTATTTTGTTTAAAAAAAATATCCTGAGAAGTTTTGTTGCCCCAGGATCTTTGAAGAAAATCTCTTGTTTATAGCTTCCTTATCTTGGATGTTTTTAATAGTTTTTTTCTACCTCTCTTTCTCTCCTGTAAAGTCTTTTTTCTCTTTCTCTCTTTTTCAGATGAACAAGTATTTGTTGGTAGTCGACGCCTGTATGGTGCTAATGATCAAATTAATCATACGTCTGTTGGTCAGTCTGGCACGGCTATGTTACTGGAACTGTTACATAGTCTATTGCATGTGCGTGACATTGAAGGTTGGCAGCCACAGAGAACTATCAAGTTTTTCTCTTGGGGAACAGCCACTGGCAATGACAATGCAGGAGTACAAGAATATCTCAAAGTAAGTAAATTCACAGCAGGTGTCATGAAACTTTTATGTTATTTTGTAGTTATAGTCACCAACAAATAGAAATGTTGGTAGTGGAAAAGAATATGGTCAAACGAACAATAATGAATCAGTTTATTTTTTCTCTATGTGCCATGTTCTTTTGGGATGTGGGCGATCATGGTTCTCCACAACTTCCTGTCCTTTGTAGCTCTTAGTAAGTTTTGTCTTTTCACCATCAATTCCAGTCCCTGTCCTGCCATACATTGACACAACAACATTAGGGAGGAAACTCACTGCTTTTCCTCTCTCCCTCCTGCCTTCAATAGGTCCTGAGGGTGTCACATTCTCCATGCCCTCTTTCCTTCTCATGTGTTCTTGAAATTCAAACTCTCTTTTTGATTCTAAGTATAGGCATCTTTATTTTAATGAACAGCTGAGTTGTGATGAGAGCTTGATGAGAATTCATCATAGACTAAGATGTAGGTTAATTTACTGTTGATGATGATGATAGTGTGTGTTCACTCAGGTCAGAATATATGGAAGTTGAGGGTCAATGAAAATTGGATAAAGGCAAGATATCTTGTGAGAGGTTTGCCTATTATCTGGTTCACATTCCTCACTTGTCTTTTGAATAAGAGGTTTATCCCTTGTTTCCAATTTAGGATTGGGTTTCTGCTTCCTTTTAAAGTCTTCTCATTCTCTTTCCCTCCCAGTAGCTGCTTGCATCTTAGTGGCATTATTGCCTTGCTTGAAGTGAATTAATTAAAAAAAAAAAAAAAAAATAGGTGAGCAAAGATAAAAAGCTCGTTTGCATGAGTGATGCTTATTTGTAAGTTGTTCATAGAGCCAGCTGTAAGTGGTCAAATTGAGAGTTCTTTTATAATTGATATCGTAGAAAAGGCAAAGTGCATTGACATAAAATTTAAATAAATAAAAATCCAAAAACCATAAGGCAAGAAATGATATTATTGAGTTCCTGTCTGAGAGATGGTGTTTGAAGATCTACTTAAATAGAATTATTTTGGAATCATCACTTGATCTTGAATGTATGTAATTGTTATGGAGGGGTTTCACAGTGGAGGCTTGTATTTGTACTAAGTCGGTCCTAAAATAGGTTCGACGTACAAAACGTTAGGAACTTGATATAATAGGTAATGACACAGAGAAATCTAGTTGGGGTTGCTGATACTTTAGTATCCGACTAACGGTTGTCCGGCATCAACTGACTGACCAACTCACTGAGCGACTTTCTCGTTACTCTTACTACTCCTGCTTATTATAGGTGGGAGAGTCTATTAACTATAGAATAGGTGTGTTCCACTATAACAGTAATGAACAGTTCACTTCAAGTTTTTTTTACTGAATAGTTAAGGAATATATTTATTTTAAGTGATGTAATTTTTGAATCACTTTGCTTTACTTATATATGGAAAACAAACACACGTGCAATGAACACAAAATCAACCTTAATCATTGTACTTACTGATGTATTGTAAATAGACTTTATAAAATAAAAGCAAAAATGATGTCATGGGAAAGGAAACTTAGACATTGTTTTCAGCTCTTAAGTTTTCCATATATGGGTTAATATCAGAAAGTTGCTGGCCTAAACCAAAACCAAAAATATTAAAAAATTAGATGGTTACTCTTGTAAATGATATTTAAATTTGACTACTGTTCTCCTTGGGAAAATCTATGGCAATCTCAGCCCATCTTTACTATCTCAAATGCACTCTGGAAGGCTGCCTGCCATCTTGTTTCTGTCTCATCTGTGTTCCTCAAGTGGCACACTTGCAGCTTCAGTTTCACTCTTTAGAATGTCGCATATTCACAGGGGAATGAAGTCCCCCTCCAACTTCCCAACATTTTGGTGGTGATTGGTCATCATCTTGAATTGAAGCCAGTGCAACTCAAAAAATAGAAAATGTATATGACCTAACAAATGTTCATCAAAATACACAACATAGTATTTCTGATAGCAACTCATCTTGTTCTAGTGTCTTTTTATCCTCATTTTTGTTTTCTCCCTTTTGTTTACTGCTATGTTCATTCTCTGATCTTGCTAAGATTCAGTTGGGTGTTTTATGAGAGGGTGCTGAAATGTTCTGTGCTTCCATAGGAAAATGTACTGGGAAGTGGGTTGAACTGAACTTTTCAACCTACTTTTCTTTTCTTTTTTTTTAATCATTTCACCCCAAGCAAGGCAATAAAGCCACTAGGATGCAAGGGATTACTGAGTGTTAGAGAGTATGAGAGAAACTAATATTAAGGTGAGGAAAACAATAAAAGGACAAAAATTAAGAAGACATGATTGACATTGCTATAAAGCCGTGGGTCATGCTTGCCTCTGTGCTACATAACGACGCCATCCTGTCCTTGGTCACTGATGTGTCCATGATCAAATTGTGAGGCTAACCATGAAGTTGGCCACTTTGTGACACTATTACAAAGGTGTTGGTAAATTGAAAAAAAAAAGGCTTTCAAAATAAACTGGAAAACAAGAAAGAAAAACAATGTTTTTCAATAGACTGAAAATATACTGATAACTTCTCCCTTTCTCCTTTTTCTTGTTTTTTCCTTTCTCCCCCCACTTTGGTGTGCAGGTGTCAACAACTAGCATAGAAGTCATCTGTACATGGTCAACTTAATCTTAAGTGATAGTATTTTTCTTATGTGCTCACCTGACCCACATGTTAGAATAGATTACATTTTAATGACTTCAAGTATCCACAGTGGCTAGGAACACATATCTAGCCAAAATTTGGTCAGTTGATAGGACTTGGAAAATAGGGATGGCATTGTAGTTATATTTTTCCTTTGTCTGCCTAAGACATGATAAAATTTATTAAGAAGAATTGTCTGTTTTTGTCACTTGTTGACCAAAAAGCTGGCATGGAGAAGCGACAGGCAATGAATCCCAGATGCAGCTCACCACACAAGGAGGAGATAAGAATTCCGGTCTGATGGAAAATTTGGATGATAATTGAATTTAGTAATTGGAGCTAAGACCACACCTCGCCTCAGGCACATGTAGAATTTCAAGGAAGGTGAAGGAATTGCCTGCACCCTTCGGGTGGTGATGGAAAGAGTTGTGCAGGTCAATATTCTGCCACTACCACTTTTTGTGAGGAGGTTGGTCAGGCAATCAATTTCCCAACCACTTCATGCCCCATGCCGGGTTTGTGTGAACATCCATAAATATAGACAAGTGAAGTGAGAAGACAGTACGGGGCACTGGAAGAAGGAACCACACAGCCTGAATTTGCAAGCGAGATACATGCCAGTTGGTTCAAGATCCGCTTTGCCAAACCCCACACAGATTCTGCAGAAAGAACTTAGACTCTGGCCTTGTTCCAGACTATCAAATACACCTGAATGGTCAGCTTGAAGAAATCACAGAGTGGAAGAAATCAGACTTGTACCAGTTTACCAAGTATGGCTAGACATTGTGGCATTAAGGGAGAAGATGCTGAAGATCTGCATGCTGTTAATCTAGTGAGTAGAATGTTCATTGTATAACCTTTTGATATAAAGTTATGTTACACAGCTGTCCCTTATTTTGTTCCTTGTGATGTCATCGTGCCAAAGCTGCCAGATTAGTGACAGTGAATATACAACTCGGTCTTCACCTGCTCTGTGATCTAAAATGAACACTACATGGGACAGGGTGAGAATTGAAGATCAAACAATTAACTCCAAGGCTGGCCGTAAGGATCAACCACAGACTTGCCCAGTGACTGAGGATGGGATTGCGATGTCATAACTTCGACCCAAGCCTCTCCCTGTCCTATGTTGTGTATGTTTTGATCACAAGGCAGGCAAGGATTGAATCGTCGCCAGATATCACTGGAGTGCTGTTGTTCAGGATGATGTTATAAGACAAAAACAAAGTTGTGTAAATCAACAAGGTTTATATAACTGAGATTTATGCAGGAACACTTTTTCGTATAAGGATCTACAAGTATGCAGGCTAATGACCATTCCCTTGTAATCTAATTTCGTGAAACTTTGTTCTTCATTTGCAAGTTGAAGTTGAGGGTTTTAAAGTTTAAGTAGAATACTTCTTCAGGCACCAAATTGTGGAATGCTGATGACGCATTTGTCTTCCTCTTCCTCTGTCTGTCATTATATAGAGACTTTCAATTCTTCCACTTGGCAATTTCATCAGGGCACTCTGCTCACATTTTATCTAATAGTCTAGAACAGGGTATGAGTCAGGAGTTCTTTGTGGCAGCAAATTGCTTGACATAATGGAAGTGTGTCTCTGCCTCAACTGCTTCTCTCTGTCTTCTCTTTTTTTGCATGACTATTTATGGAGTCCAAGCTCCAAAAACTGGGTTGAGGTTGGCTTGTTCTTCAAATCTCCTGTCACCCAATCAAATCTCTCCATGGGTGCTGTTGGGTGGCCCTTGTATGTACAAATATGGGGATCTCCCCCTGTGAGCAACACGTCAATCCACCATCTTGTCCCCCCTCCCTCTCTTGCTTGCACCAGTACTTTTCAGTGGGTGTATTCATTTCGCTCATGTGCCATCATAATGCCTGACATAAAACAGATATTATTTCTAATGTCACCATTGGGGTCTCTTAGTCCTCAGCTAAAGTCAGCACCTGTCTGTTGGTCCTAGCTAGCAAAACAAAATAAGGAGACATTACATCTAACTTTGCCCATGTGGATTTCAGCACTATCTTCTAGTGAGGTCATTATTCATGAAATGAGAAACAAAAGTATATTTTCTTTTGTTTTTGGTATGTCCTTCAATCTATTTACTACGTTCCTGGTTTTTGTGTTTGCTTTTGATTTAATTTAAGCCTTTTTTTTCCTTCAAATTATCAGCAGTCTTACAGTGTCATATTGCATTTACATTTTTGAAGATCAAAGTTGACTAAGATGCTGGAAGAGAATTTCACAAGTGAGAAGTGCAAGAGAAGAAACTGTTAACATAGAACCTACAGTTACATTTAGCCATTTAAACTGTAAAATGATGAGACCTTGCTGCCAATCTAGTACTGTGCTTAAATTCATAAAGTGTTGGTACCATAGCAGAAAATTCATCCAAACAATTACCATGAAAGTATTTATAGAAAAGGCACACAGAAACCATGTTATGGTGGTAGGAATGGCACTGAAACCAAAATGTCAAGTCAGGATCAATAACATTGCAGATTCTTCTTTGTTAATTTATCAAGAATCTCTAAATAGCAGGAACACCAGACCATATGTGGCAGCAATATTTAAAGCAAAGATGAATAGTAGACTTATAAATATGTAAAATAGATTCTGGCGAGAAAAATTATCTAGCATGACATAGTGAACCTACTTTCTTAGCTGCAGACTTAGTAATTGATTCAATATGCTTTTTCCACTTCATGTCAGCTGAAAACATTAGACTGAGATGGTGCAACGAGTCAGTCTCTTGGAGGTTAGCATCAGCCATGCTGCTGGAAGTTAAAAAGCATTCTTTCAGATGATTAAAAGAGAGCAGTTTCGTTTTTGAGGTGTTAAAATTAACAAGCCACTCCTTGCCCCACTTAACAGATTTTAGATCTTTTTTTTTTTTTTTTTTAGATCAGCTGCCAATTTCATCTTATTAAACTGATCAGATTACTATTAAGACAGGAGTAAATAGTTGTCATCAGCATAGATACTGAGTTGAGAACTGATGCCATCAGTCAGTTCATTTATAAAAATTAGAAACAACATGGGTCCAAGGATAGATCCGTGGGGGATGACTGTATCAATGCAAAAAAAAAAAAAACTCAGAATGATTATTCAAGACAACTTTCATTTTTTGATTTGATAAGACTCAGATCAGATCAAAAATTTGTCCAGAAATATCATAACCTTTCATCTTGTGAAGAAGACTGGTATGCCAAACCCTGTCAATTGTCTTCAAGATATCCAAAGCAACAGGACAAGCTTCCCCATTCTCATGTAAAGCTTGATAGACTTTTTCAGCTATAATTGTTAGCACATCAGCACATGACCTTGAGAAGCAAAAGCTGTATTTATCTGAAAGAAGATCCTGCAATGTGGGATGCTTGACTAAATCAGTTAATTAGAGCTACTAGTACTTTGCCAAAAAGAGGTAGAAGGCTAACAGACCAATAGAAGTATCAGATGGTTTGCCAGAGTTCTTAAAGATTGGAACTATAGAAAATTTCCAAGAAGCAGCAAGGCATTCATTGTACAGTTTAGAGAGAACAGGAGCTAGTTCAAGAGTACATTTCTTGAGGACTATTGCAGGGATAGCATCAAGGCCAGATGCTTTGCGAGGATCCATTTTAGAAATGATAACTTCATTCATGGTTTCTGCTATGTGCACATATCATGCAGTAGAAAATCTGTTCTAAATGAAAAGTCAAGCAAGGATACTCCAGATGAGTCAAAAGTAGAATTTATGAACAAATCATTCTGCTTTATCAACAGATGTTAACATTGCAAATTAAGTGAAGAGAGGAGAGATAGAAGACTTACTCTTATTTAAGCCACTATTACAGAGTCATCAGTAGTCATGAGAACCAAACTTGTTAGAGGTTATACGGGATTTCAAGCCTGTCTGTTTGAGGAAAGGTAGGTAGTTTGGTAGAAAAACTATAATTAAAGTGAAAATCAGCAAAGAAAGAAAGAAATGATAACTTTCTGGTGTAATCTCAGGGGCAAATTTTGTGTTAAAATTGCAACCAAAAAAATACTATTAAAAAAAAAACAAAAAAACACTGTTGGCTACAAGTAATTCTTGTAGAAGTAATGATAGAAAATAAAGAGTTAGAACTCTTATTAACAGTTTTGGTAACATGTCCACTCAATTTTGAAAGGAGCCTGGTCATAATGAAGGAAAAAAAATACAGCTACTATTACCACCACCTTTGGCTAATTACTTTTAGCATTTTATATATATATCTCTTTGAACACATATGCAAATTTTGATTCCCCTTCAATCAGATGGGTTCAACTGGAAATCATGTCAATAAATTTTCTGTGAAGACAAAACAATATCTTTCATTATATTTTTGTCACAAGATTAGAGTTGAATTTTCTCATTTCTCCCCTTCCACTGAGTTTCACTAAGGTAAGTGCACAAAGTTTATACACATTCTATTAGCAAAGACTTCTCCTCTTTGAGTACACCTTTACAATTATTTTGTGCAGCCACAAATAGGTGTCTGTTGTGACTGGGATTATAACACTGGTACACCTGGGAAAAGTGATTCTTATGATCTATAGTGGCTGTCTTCATTTTATTAGTCTTTTCTTACTTGTAGTTCTATTTAAGAGTTGTATTGGCTTATGGCCACATCACATTAAAACACTAGTTCTTGTATGATCACCAAATTAAGCAACATTGAGCCTGGTGAGTACCTACACGAGTGACTGCTTGGGAGTACCAGGCATTGTAAGCTTAGATGTGTGGGTGGTATAATGGATAGCGATTAGGAGTTGAAAATTGGAATTCTCCAATTTTAGTCAGATTCATTATATTCCTGTATATGCAAATAGCTTTTGGAAAGGGATGAATCCACTTCTTCCCCTAGCAATGGGTTAATTAGTAGCACTTGTGTCAGTAAATTATTATTTCTTTATTATTCTTACAATCTAAAAAAAAATATTTTCTGGTTTTAAATAACCTGCAAAAGAGTGATAAGCCATAAAAAAACAAATCAATTAATCAAGGTTGTATCCATGTTATTTGGGGTGGAGCAGTAATTATAGGATTGGATTATGCATGCAGTTTTCTTCTTATCTGGCAATTATGACCTAAGTTTACATATGAAGGTTTAGATGAGAGAATTTATCCATGTACCTTACAGGGGCATATCTGTTCTTCTTTGTGCTGTATCCCTTCAGGATGTGGGCGATCATGGCTCTCTACAAATTCCTATCCCTTCTAGCTCTAAGTAACATTAGTGTCACCATCCCACCTCACCTCTATTCCTGCAATCCATTCACACAAACTGGTCAGGTAGGTGCCCCCCACTCCCTCTACCTCATTCACCTTCAATATGTCCTGTGAGTGTCAAACTCTCCAAACCCACCTTATCTTAATTTCAGATCTCTTGCTTGGGGCCAAATAAGTATCAACACAAAGGTTTTTTACACTGGAGTCAGTTGGTGGGGTTTGAACCAGATTTAAGAAAGACAAGTAAGCAATTCAATTCAATATTGGTGTTTGACAATATCAAGTATCAGTGAAATCACTTTACATATAATTAAAAAACTTATTCAGATTTCTGTAATTTTCCTCTATCAATTTATTTTTGTTTACAGAAAAATAGTTGGATTGTGAACAGCCGCAATGTTGGCTATGTTGAGCTTCAAGATGTCATTGGTAAATGGTGTAACCATCTTTTCATTCATGCTGACTCTGTGTCCTTGGAGACTGTTGTTCGTGCTACAGAAATGGTGAGATAACTCTTTCCTTTGTTGAGAGAATATTTTTTAATTCTCATGCCAGAGAGTGCATTTTAACAATTTCTTTTCACAGTGTGAGGTTATGTTATTTTAGAAGCATTTTGAAAATTCATCACTACCGAGGTTAAGTAGCCCCCACTTGTAAAACAAAAAAAAAATTACAATGTTTGTCAGAATAAAAAAAAAAAAAAAAAATTTTTTTTAATCTGTTATCCCTTTTAAAAGGTAGGGGGAGTCATTTTTGTATTACAAATCCAGCATCAAATTAATCCCTGACTTTATTTTAAATGAATCATGTAAAACATGTAATTAAAACAAAGAACAGACTGATATCATCTACATTTTTAATAAGGTTTATTTGAAGAAAATATCTTTAAAGAAGCAATTGTTTTTGTAAGAAAAATAAAATTACTTTAATATTAGCAAGCAATTGCGTAACAAAAAGCTTTAAACCTTATGAGATATAGAATGGAGGTTACAGTTCCTTAAAACAACATCATTGTGGTTAATGTCATATTGTATACACCACATGAAGATAACATAAATGAATGCATTTCATAGGTTTTTATTTGTACCTGTGTTGCCAGACCCAAAATTTCAACTGTGATTCACTTAATGGTGAATATAAAAGGAGTTGAACTCTGTTTATTCTTTGAGAATGAATAATGATGCTTGACTTTATTTTTTGACTTCTCAGATGTATTTGCAGATTGCTTGTTCACAAATTCCAATATTTTTGGCCAATAACAGATTTGTCTACCTGAACCACTATACCAGGTGATCTAATTTGAATTGGCTTGCACATACACAGAGATATGTTAATAAAATCATTCAAATAAAATCAGTGTGTATGAAGAAAAATGTGCAATTTAATCTATCCTGAACAGGCACCATGAATACATGAATTTAAGTATATGATATATATATATATATATATATATATGACATTTTTTTTTCCTTTTTTGTAAAAAAAAAAAAAAAAAAACCCAGCTGACTTTAAGTTGGGGAATCAATTTGATACTGCATTTATACTATGAAAAAGACCCTCAGCTCTAAAATCTTTTTCTTTTTTTCTAATGAATGTTACTCTACAAAAAAAACAACTTTCCATTTTTCATGAGTGGGACATGTTGTTCTGAAGGTTTATCAAAGAAACCTCTGAAAATGGAATTTTTTTATGTTGTTTGCTTTGTTCAAACATGTCATTCATTTCTTATGAAAATTTTCATAATTTATATCAAATGTCAAAATACTGTACAAAATTAGGTTTTATGTCAATGTTTGCAAATATGGCTAAAAAAAACAACAAAACACTATAAACAATAAAAAATCAAATTTAACTTTGAATTATACATTAATGGTTGACTTAAATTTACAAGACAAATGTCACATGGAATTTGTTTTTCTTTGTTCAAATAAGAAAAATGCATTGCCTTCAAGTAATCAAATACAAATATTACTTAACAGGTACTTATTAACTTTTTGCTCCCCACCCCAAATATAATTGGTTCTTCATCTTTAGATGTAATTGCAACATTCCTCTTGAAAAAAAAAAAAAAAAAAAAAAAGAAATGGTTCAATATGTTGTAAATATTTTACTATCATGTTCTCTCTTTCTCTCTCTGTATAATCCACATAATTGTAGGTTTGTGATTAGTGAAAGCTGAAAAGAAAAAAATAGGTGACAACTGTTGCCATTTGTAACAAGATGTAACACAAGAGATCTCATATTTCATATCAGATTTGCATGAGTTTAACTTAAATATTTCTATCTTCCTCACTCTCATTTTCCCAATCTGTTATTTGAACCTCCTCACAAAGACAATTTGATCCCCTCCCCCTAGAAAATCATGGTATGGCAGTCTTCAGTGGGTTGGTTTGCATCTTAAAACTATGAAATTTCCCTATGCATTTTTATTATTATTATTATATCATATCATCTCCTATAGACACAACACTTTTCTCAGCACATGAGCTGTTCTAAACAGTGCTACCACCTGAGCATTCCAATTGATGTCAGGTACTCCAAGGCGCCTTGCATAGCAGAAAGATTTTTGGAAATAGTCCCGAGAGTGCCAACCATAAAGGGAGACAACTTTATGTGCTTGCCATATTTATTTGATTTGTCGTGGTACCTCAGTATTTTCACCTGCTTCATCTTAAGTGTTCTTATCCCAAGTTGCCACAATATCTATCAGGATCTATTCATAACTGATATCAGGGCAATTGCTCTTCAAACGCTTGTCAGTGAGGATGGTCATATCTCATATGAGCTTCACTTGCTCATTAACAACTACTGACGTTCATAAATACTCATATCACTTTTCTATGCACTCAAGACCATATTTCCCAATTATTAGGGATATTTTGTCAACTGACACAATAAATATGTTGTATACTTTTAATAGCTTTTCTACACAGCCTGCACTTGGGTCAATCAGCTGCTCCATCAATATTGATGGGATGTTTCTGATCCCTTAAAAGCCTGTTATTGAGAATCGGTCAGTAGTAGCTATTTACTATCTGTTCTGGTATTTGTGATTATCAGTTTGCCCTGAAAAAAATCTCATGCTTGATTTGTACTTTGCAAAGTTCTTATTCTCTGAATGTTAATACTATCTTAGGATCCATGAGTGTGATACCATATCATAAGCCTTGTGATAATTTATCCACAGGCCATAGACAAGTTTGTCATGTGCTGCCTGCAATTCTTGTCAATCAGAAGTTGGTCTTTAGTCCAGTATGAAGCCTTTTCACATCCCTTCTGTTCATCAGGAACATCATTTTTACCAAGGTGTATATAGATTTTATTGTTGAAAATTCCCGTCAACAATTTCAACTATTTGATGTTTTTTTGTTTTTAAAATAACAAGATCATTATTAGTGAGTTTGATCTTCACTGGGTGCCTCAAACATGCACCCTTGTGCCAAGCTAAACTGAGTAAATGACAACTGTAAAAAAAAAAAATAAATAAAAAGTACATGTTAGTTTATATGTATATAATCATTTTCTAACAATTATTTCAATGTGCTATATTCATACATTAGTCCAAATTATTTTAAAATCTACAAATAATGAATATTTTTTTCTGTCCCAGGTACCTGATCCTACAAATCCTGAATCAAGTATTTCAGTACGATACAAATATAAAAAATCTGAGCAACCAATGTCATCCACATCAGATGCTGCACCTGGAAGTCTTACATATCAGTTGGCTGATGTGCACACATTGCAAATGAGTCACTGGGTCCCCACCACTCAGTTTAGTTGTGTATATTCAACTACAAATGAACAGGTCAGTCAATAACTTTTTTTTTTTTTTTTAATCATTTCATGCCAAGCAAGTCAATAAAGCAACTAAGACGCGGTTGGAGGTTACTGAGTGTGAGAGGATATGAGAAAAAGACGGATATTATTAAGGAAAGAGAATAATAAAATAATTGTAATTAAGAAGACAAAAATGATTGTCATTACCATTAAGATGAGAGTAAATAGTTTAAATAAATCAGCATAGATAAATAGATGAGAACTGATGACTTTGGGAAGAACATTGGTCCAAAGATAGAGGCCCTAGGGAACACCTATCCACATTAATGCAAAATGATTCAATGGCATTCAATACAACTTTCATTTTGTATATTCATAAGAAAAGTTGAATCATATAAATTAGTTCAGAAATACCATAACCTTTTCAACTTCATCCAAGGACCAGGATACCAAACACTTTAGATACAGAAATGAAAACTATATTGCTTATCTGAAAGAAGACCTTAGGAGGTGAGATGCTTAAACAATTCAGAGTTGATTAGAACCTCTACTACGTAACCAAAAAGAGGTAGAAGGCTCAGATAGTTCTGTAGTTCGTCTTTAAAGGCTCAGATAGTTCTGTAGTTCCAGTCTTTAAGAACTCGGCTGAAGAGGATTTCCAATAAAAAGGCAAGCAAGAAGCTAGACTTAACGACTATTGCATTCACAGTTCAGACGCTTTGTGAGGATTCATTTTAGAAATGATATGTATATAATTCCATCCATGAATTTCTGCTATCATGGAGTAAAGACTCAGTACTTTGTAGACAGTCAACCAAACATACTCCAGATGAATCAAAAGTAGAATTGGAAAGTGAGCAAAATATTCTGCATTATCAACATAATGTGATTACACATAAAAATGAGTGAGGAGAGATAGAAAACTTACTCTTATTTAACACACTATTACAGAGCCACCAGTAGTCATGAGAACCAAAGTTTTGATTATATATGGTGCCTCATTCTATCAGCAAACAAAGACTTACTCTCTTTGAGCAGACATTTGCAATTATTATGAATAGACACAAATTGCCTGTTGTGATTGAAACTATCACATTGGTACAGCCAGAAAAAGTGATCCCTGTGGGCTATAGTGGCCGAACAGGCAGAATTAAATCAAGTAGAAGACTACAGTTTCACCTGGTACTTCCAAGACACAAAAACATCAATGCCAGCTTTTACCCAAGAATTTAACTCCAAGGAGCATTGCAAAGAAAATCACAAAATGAATCCCAATCAGTATACGGGTAACAGAAAGTATTTTGAATAGGAGGTTCATATCTAATAGACGAATCAAAGGATACTAGAGTGTGATCTGAATTACCAAGAGGACAGAGTTGTGATGTTGAACAAGAGCCAGGAGAGGAAGTAAGGATCAAATTGAGTAAAGTATCATGTTGATTAGAATCATTAGGGGAAAACAAGTACAGAAATTCACTATTTGACTGAAGAGATTGAGCAATGGAAAAATTGAAACAACAGTAACATTATCATGATTAAGCCACTTGACATGATAAGCATTAAAATCATCTAACACAGATATTCACAAATGAATGGGGAGAGAACCATTTCTATACTGTCAGAGATTTTTTCTAATATGTTAATCCTGAGAAGAAGGAAAAAGAGATTTACCATTGGAAAATTTTCCAAGATGTAAACACTAAAGCCATACATGTCCTCTAGAATCTTTTTGAGAAAGAGGAAGATATCCTGGAACAGAGAATTCCTTGGTAGAAATAGAAGAGTTAAAATTAGGTTTACAAAGCACTAACATATCTGGGAAAAATTTCAAGGGAAAAAAATTCTACACTACAATAATTGGTACAAATATTGGAGAAAAAACAGTTGAGGGCAGTAGAGATTTGTTTTTTTTGTTTGTTTACTGGTTTACTCATATTTCTCTTAATTTTAACTGTCAGAAGGTTATTTAAATTTTTTAAGGAAAAATAAATTAAAAACAAAATGAAAAGGTAACTATTTTTAAATTTGATTAAGCTTAGCTTTGTCCACAATGTGTTGAATGCCACAGGAATAAAGTTTTGACACAACTTTACTAATTATAATTTTATTTAATACAGAAAAATGCTTTTCTTGAAAAATCAGCATTTGTGTTTTTACCTGGCTACTCAGGAGAAAATAAATATATATATATATATATATATATATATAAAAAGCAAATAACTGCCACATGGTGGCTTAATTTGGATTCATTGTTTGTTTTTTTGGTTTATTTTCTAACTATATACTTCATGAACTTTTAAAGAAAATTTCCGCTTTTTCTTATTAAGGATACATTTTTTTTTTTTTTTTTTTCTAAATGCAAGTTATAGGAAAAACTATTCCTTGAAGCAAGAGCAGAATTGTTTTTCTTTATTAAGTATTTTTTATTATACTAGGATTTTTCATTGCAACTCTTCAGGCTATAATTCCACATCTGATAAGTATTATTTTAGAATAGAATATTTTGGAATTTTTGTACAAAATCTGAAAAATAAGACTTAACTGGAATATTTAATTCTTTTTAAAAATCATAATACCAAAATTATTAGCAGAAAGAAAAAAAAACAAGCACTTGGCTGTCTTTTCGATTATTTCAATGATGTATATGTGGATATTTATGAATTTATTTTTATTCTATATTAAAACAGGGTAAACTTAATGAGCAACAACCATCGTCGGATCGTAATCATCACTACCGGCATCACATGGCGGTGACGAGAGTTGCCTCCCTTGTACTGTTAGCCTTAGCTGACAAAGAGCACCATGGCTACAGTGTTGAACAATTAATTTCGGCTGTTCAACATGAAGTTTCACGTTTCCTCACTCGCTGTCACGGAGTTTCTTTTAGTAAGTGAACTGTGTTCAACTTTTCCTTTCAAAAGCAATAATTTTGATCTTTCTCTCAAAAAGGCTTTAATTTTTAACATTGCAGACATATTTTGTAATAGTTGTAAATCCGTAAATTATTTACATGTTAGATTATTTGGTACTGAATTAGCAAGCATGCAATATTATATATATATATATATATCTCCATTAATTTATCACTTATGCACCCCCACCAAATACAAGCATAAATTAACTTACTCTGCATATCTAGCATTGTCCGAGCTGAGTTTAACAAAGAGACAAAAATAACATGTCTTCAATTAAATTTTGTGCAAAAAGAAAAGATTGCAGCTTTTGTGGAAGAGTAAAATTTTACAATTAAGGCAAAATCCCAGATTGTTGGGACAACATGAGAAAAATGGGCAAAACCTAATGGAAAGAATAAGATTATCTGCATCTCATATGGGTAAGCAGCAAATATTTTCATGAAAAGAAACAAATGTCTTGTCTATATTTAATAATCTTAAGGCTAACCGACTACACTGTAAACCTGTATTACCAACAGTCTGTGGTGTGAATGAGTGTGCCTCAGAATGTTTTTTTTTTTAATATTCCTCAAAGATGAGATGTTAAATTCAAATCCACCTAACTTATATCAATGTGGGAACAAATATTTATCATGTTTCATTGTGTGTGTTTGGATACCCAATAGTTTGGCTGTAGTGAAAAAAAAAAAAAAAAAAAAAACTATATGAAAATCTGCCATTTCAACCGGCAGGCCATAAGGAGGTACTGAAAACACAGATATTTTAAAGGCTCTTTGGTTGAATCTAGAAGACCCCCCCCCGTATACACAAGAGATTGAAAAGTAAACCCTTTTATTTTTAGAATCTGTTGATAAAGCAATGTCTGCTCTACTTCAAATGGTTGTCAAAGCACAGCACCCAGCCACCCTAAAGATTTGGCAGGATCAACCCCATCCGGCATCCACAGACTGGCATTGGCATATCCACAATTGTCGAAACCAGCTTCTTTTGCTGCATAGGATACTTGCACCACTCACAAGGTAACTAATTCTTCTGACATTTTACCAGAAATTACTCGAACATAAAACTAAATGTCCTGCCAGTCAAAATACAGATTTAAAAAAAAAAAAAAAAAAAAAAAAAAATCACATTTTATTGAATTTTTCTTTTCTCTGTCAGCTAACATTAAAAATTTCTAATACTACACAAGCAATAATGTCATTTGAGTGTTGATTTATTTTACAAGTACTTTTTTCTTTTTCAGATTGAATTCTTTTACCATGTCTTTGGAATTGCTTCAACTTGAACCATTTTCTTCAAGTCCACGTACGCACACACCTCTTGTATGTTTGCCACCAGTGTTAACAGCCATAACACAGAGATTAGAACAGGCTTTTTATTCCCTTTCAGATTGAGTAAGCAAGCTATACTACTGCAGGTAGTGTGTGTGTGTGTATATATATATATATATATATAGAGTGTGTGAGAAGCCAATACATTTTAAATATCATCAGCAAATTGAAAAGTTTGCCTTTTGTGAATTCTCCAAGAGAATTAAATACTATTTTATTCCATGCAATTAACTCTTATATATATAATCTTGTCATTATTGTAGTATGATGAGCAAGCCTAATTCACTGATTGTGCAACTCGTAAACATATACAAGAACGTGAGCTCAGCTTTCTAAATAAAAATCACCTTAATATTGTCTTCCAAAGGTGAAGGGTTTTGTTTCAGGAATTAACAGAGAATTGTCAGGTTCTGACAGTCAGTTGCATTTTGCAAAAGACATTGGAACAAATACAAATTAAAAACTCAAATGAACTTGAAAATTCAACAATACAGATAAGTCTGTATAAAAGTTTAAAATCTCTACATTGAATATATTTTTTTTTTTTTTTTTAATGGAAGTGCTGGAAAAAAAAAACAAACTACTTAGCTTCTTTGGAAGCAGTAAGCTGAAATTCAAGAAAGCAAAAAATATTACAAGCAAAATAAATACATACACATACAAACATCTATAAATACATATATATATATATATACTTATTTTATTTTCAGTATAAAAATTTACTGCAGAAATAGAAATGCAGCTGTTTCCCCCCACCCTCTAATTTGTGTATTTTCACATTCACTCAGAAACATCCATAGATCTGCACAAAGTAATCTTGAATGGAATAAAAGTATTCAAAATCAATCATATTCAAAATATACAATAGAAAAATTTATTAGAAAAAAAAAAAAAAAAATTTTTCTCACAAACACCGGATCTTAAAATATCAGCATACAACATTAATCAATTAATTTCATAACAGGTGGGTAAGTGAAAGAGACAGCGCGTGTGTATATATTTATACATGAAGGTGTCTGAAAACTGAAGCTTTTTTTTTTTTTTTTTTTACGGTTCAGTTTCTGATACCAAGGGAGATAACCGTATATTAGTCGAAATTATTGGAAATGCTTAGGTCTTGTAATAAAAAAGGATTGTTAAAAAAAAAATCCTGAATAAAAATAAATATTTGCCAATTTTTCTTGTCTTTGTAATTTTCTTTAATCACATTTCGACAATTCTACTCTGGCTTTCTTTATCAGAAATTCATTGGAACCACAAGATGGAAGAGTAGAGCTGCTGAAACATGGTGAATTGTTTAATGTATTAATCAGTTATTGAATTGGTAACAGCATCTGAATTGCAACACCAGATACTGTAGACAAAAAGGGGATTTTAAAGGAATATAGCTTATATTACACCTACAAAGTCACTCCTTCCCCCTCACTTTCAACCGAGTGAAATCTGATTTATTTTGAGAAGGCATGGATGACATAATAAAATTACATTTAAAAATGCTATTTCATTAAATGAAAATTTTCTGGAAATTAAAAATATGACTGAGTATTAATTTAAGCTACTTCACATATAACTTACCCAGAATAAATGCAGTTTCAATGTGTGACATTGTTCATTTTTTTTTAATTATATCTTTAGAAGAGCTAAGACCCTAATTATTATAATTCTATATGAATTTGATCCTTGAAGAAGTTTTGTTTTTAATGGATTAGATATGGTTGGTTAGTTGGCAGTGATCAACAACCATTAAGTTTTAAGTGGCATACAATTTAACCTTTATCAAGACTAATCCATTTAGCATGTGTTTGTTGGATAACTTTTTTTTTTTTTTTTTTAAATCAGAGTTCATTTCAACAAGAAGTTTTAACTTGAGTAGGCGAGATGGTTGGGTTCTTAACAAAGAGGAAATCCTGGTTACTATCAACAACTATTAATAGTTTGGAAACAACTGCAGTAGATGACAATATAACAGGTTTTTAAGGCAGATAATGAAATCTCCTGACATTAAAGAAGAAAAAAAAAAAACCTTCAGGATTGGCTTTGGATTCTTAACTGAGAAAGAATTAATAAATTTTTTTTTTTTTTTTTTTTTTATTTATTTTTCTTTTGCTAAAAACAGAAACTATTGTCTGTAATTTTTCAGAGGAGGAGTTATTATTCCAAAAGTTGCTGGGACTGTTTTTGTAGCTGCATGTCCCAACATGCATTTTTTTTTTTTTCTCTCATCACTATTCCAGTCAATCCATTCTACAGCCTGATTCAGGTGCATGATATCTCATTCTGAGATAAGTAATCCAAAGTCAGCCCCCCAAAAAAAAAAACAAGTTTCATCTTGATAATTATTTTAACTTGTCTATCGTAGAACTAAGTAAAACACATTTTTCTTACAAGTGGTCTTTTTTTTGTCTAAATATAGAATATTAAAGTAATTTCTGCTTTCCCTTTGAAATGTATTTGCTGATGAAAAATATTAATGTTTAGATTAAATTTGTAAAAGGAAGGAAACTGGAAAAGTTCTTGGCTCAACAAAGAAGGAATTTATAAAGAAATTCTCATGTTTGGATATCAGGTCAGATTTTGGGTCAAGAAGTTTTCAGCACCACCTTATTAGTAAATTTGGATTCAGAAGAAAAATATTAAAAATTAAAAAACAATCTCTTTAAAATTTAAGCATTAACAATACGTTAGTAACACTTAACTCCTCAAGAATTTTTCACAAAGTCAGACAAAAATTAATAGTTCAATGGTAGCTGATTATAAGTATATATTTTTAGTAGGTTTGGTCTAGAACAACTATCTGGCTGTTGACACACAGTAAACGTGTGTGCATCAGATAAAATGATAGCAAATGGAAAGAGCACAGCAGTTTGTTTTTGTATGATTTGTTCATATTTAGATTTTAATTATAACCGCTATTTAGTTGGTTAGATTCAAGGATCTGAGATTAAAAGTAGACAATTGCTTCTTTAAATAAAACTTTGTTAGAATTCACTAATATCAAATACTAAACCAAAAGTTAAAAAGACAAGATAAACAGACAAATCATCTGGTAAGAAAAAATTGTTTACATCCCATAATAATCAAAGACAAATAAAATCCTTAAGAAGCTTCCTAACATTGAATCAAATCTCTGAGGACTTTAAAAAGTACATTTCAATTACATTTCAAACTTTCTAATAAATTTAAATTAGAATTAATTTTACTCAAAGATTTTTTTTCAGTTCTTTATAATTAGTTAAGAACACTGTTAAGAATAACAAAGAAAATCAATTTGTGAGGTATTATGTTTCAGAAATATAAAATGTCAAACTCACATCCTCCTTCTCCACCAAAAAAAATTCGATGCTAGAAACATTTCAATTTTTAAGGAGGAAGGGGAGATAATCTGAAATTGAGCTGAAAGACTCAAAAAGTAATCTTGGATGACTCAGGATACTTTTCCCCCTAAAAGGGAAGAGAAGAAAAGTAACTTGAATTATAAATAAAAACAAAAAATTACCATAACTATTTTGCATGTCATTAATATTTTTTTTGTTTTGTTTTTTAAGAGCAAATCACCAAGAGTGTGACAAGTCAGAATGAAACAAATGCTAAACTTAACCAGTATTTGTAAAAAGTCTTAACTAAATTTTTTGCTGTGTATTTTGGTTATTTATTTTTGAGAAATTTTAAAAATTTTGTAAATAAAAGTTTTTTTACTAAATATGTTTAAATATTACTGAAAATACTTTAGCTAAATTTAGAAAATCAAAACTGTCTCTGTATTTAAAGTTTTGGGGAGTGGTCCTCAAAACCAACATTAACTTTTTTCGTCTCCAACATAAATTTACAAAATCAATTATATTTTCTATTGAGACATTGGCGTTTCTTTTTAAAGGGATATAATCTCAACATGGAAAATTAACAGTTTTAAATTGTTTAACATTTTCCAGTGATAAACATTGTTGTGTGTTTTTTTTTTTATTGATTTTCTTTTAATAATAATAATCAGATAAAAAATTAGTAGATTTTTCATTGCAAAAACAAAAAATAAACTGTTCTAATGAATGGGGAGGGGGGAGATGAAATTGGCAATAAATGCAAACAGGAATGCCTTTGGTTAAAATCAATGAGATTCTCAAACAAACTTCACTTTTGTTTTTTACTAATATTTATACCAGAACAGATTTTCCCCACAGAAAACCAGAATTCTCCAAGACACATTTTTACAAAAGCAACAAGAAATTGTGACAGATTTCATTTTTTTTGTCTTGAAGCATTTTTCACAATAAAAAGTAGTCCCCTGCCTCCCCTAAAAAAAAAACTCACAACTAAAAAAACAAATAATCCTTATCTTCATAAGCTACAAATACCTAGCAAAAGATTTGTTAATTCGAGGTTAAACTTCATTATTTTCAACCACTCAGTGGAAATATCAATTCAGCAAATCTATTATGGTATCTCATCTAATACTGAATTATGTTAATTTATTGTCAGAATGATATTCTACAAAATAGAGACAACAAAATAATAAGTACTAGAAAAAATGTTTGTATTTAAACAAGTATTAAAAAACGAATTTTCTATTTTGACAGACATTTTAGAACAATATAGAAAAGGACAAATAAAATGTATTTATTAAAAGGCAAAAAATAAAACAAAAAACCCAAAGATCTTAACTGAAAATACAATTTTATGGAATAACAAGAATTAACAAGAACAAAGAAATTTATAAACTTAAAATAATTTACAAACATTAAAAAATATTAAGTTTCTTTCTGAATGAAACTAACAATTTTGGCTCTCCGTAGGAATCTTGTTAGTACAGATATAGTGAATTTTAGGAGCGAGTGTGTTGCTCTAAATGGTCAAGAGGGGAATGTTATTGAACTTTTGTATTGCATACACACAATAAGGAATGGTAAACGTTTATATATAAATAAATAAAATACACCTTCTCTGTTCACCTACCCACACAATCCACATATACAGAATAGCTAACATACCTAGGTTGACACATAATAACAAACACACAAAAGGTTATTTTCAAAAGTCATTTACAGAGACATACTTTCACAGGTAAAGACACACTTTGAACTTATACCAAAAAGACATACAGACATTGATTTTTTTTTTTTTTACAAGTCCAGAGAAAAATGTTGAAGATATTTCTGAAAATGGAAGATAGTTTATATATCTTCCATTTTTTGGTTTTAAATTTTATTACCTCCCTCCCTTGTAAGGCAGATCATGTTTACTGATAACAATTGTAAGGAAGAGATTTCAACAAACACTCTGTTAAAAAAATACAAAATAATTTTCTTTCTTCCAGAAAAAAAAAAAAGAATTAACAAATAAGAACATTTTGTTTTTCTTGCACTTTTCTGGAACAAGAAAATTCCATCGCCCCAAAATATATATCCATATAAAAATTTATGTTGTTTATTTAAAAAAAAAAAAAGTTTCTTTCTTGACTTGTGTTGAATTTGTCATCATCAACTGACCAAATATTTCCAAAAGAATGGTGTGAAATTCAACCAAAGAACAAATGTGGAATTTCATTAAAAAAAAAAAGTGTAAATTGGGCATCTGGGGTAAGAGACTTTGTAGGCAATTTTATTTATTTGTTTGTTTATTTATTTTGGTTGGAAGGGTGGATTGGGGGGTGGGAGCAATTTTGTTTCCCTTGATCCCTCGTTGCCCAAATGCTGCCACAAGAATTTCTCTTTTTTTCTAAATCCCCCCCCCACGGACTATATTTCCCTTTTTCTGTACTTTAAGAAAATGTATCCTTTCCACCTTATGTTCAAAATATAGATTCACCCTGTACGGGAAAAGTTCTGGGATCATCACAGTGCTGCAGATATGATCTGAGTGAGTGATGTCAGCTTTATATATATATATATATATATAATGTTTCCATTATTTAACATTGAAGCTGTAAGTGGCAATAACTGTATCATTTTGGCAGTGAACCTTATAAAGATATTGGAGGTTTTTTTTTTTAGTTTTTGTTTTTTCCCCTCCAGCACAGTGTTTTGTTGATATAAAATAGTTTGAATATTTTTTTTTTTTTTTTTGCTCTTAGAAAGGGATCATTTTGTAAATTTCAAATAATTCCATTACTTTCAAGTGCATGGTTTTCCAAAGGAGGCACATTATTACTTTTTTGTGTTTATAGCAAACAGATATTAGCAGCTGTATCAAGGCACAGTACATCATATTACCTTGGTATACTTAATAAAAAGAAAAATTTACTTGAACAAATTTTCTACAACCTCCTAAAGTTTGTCCTACTTACAAAAAAAAAAAAAAAACAACAATGTATTTTTTTTAACGGTGAGTGTAAATTTAAAGTGGCGGGTGCAGGAAAAATGATGAAGACAAAATAAACGATTGTGGTGCACATACACACACACACAGGTGACTAGTAGAATGGAGAGTGAAGCAAGGGGAGTCGAAACAAGGTATGACAGTTTGCATCAAAGAGGAATGTTTTCAAGCATCGGATTCATCGTTACATGCTGAGCTGTTGTTGTTTACAGAGTCCACACAGCCAGAATCATCTTCGCTAATGTCCCCATTCAGGGCGTATGAATAAGATGAATCGGCTGCCTTCGTATTCTGTCTCTCATCTTTAGCAAGGTTTTCTTCTCCCCTTGTAATCGTTGTTGATGCAGTCTCTTTTCTGGCCAAGATCTTGTCTTCCACATCACTCACAATATCGTCTTCACCCAGATCACCACTATCCACCGACCCCTCCACACTGTCTCCCATCAGCTTACCATCCCCACTGCCAGTTCGTTCTTTTTTTTTCTTTGTCTGTTGACCCTTCACCTGAGGGACAGGAGAACTTTGTCCACAGGGACTCAAGGATAATGACGTGACATCTTTTTGACAGCCACACTTGTCTGATGACGAAGGAGAAATAGCATTTGTATGGTTTTCCTCCGTTTCTAATACGGCATCATCTTCATCTTCATCTTCATTTCCATCAGTGTCTAACATAGCTGGTCGTGGAACTGGATGACCCCGGATCCATGGATGGCTCAGACACTGTGCAGCATCCATACGACCTCTGCAATTAAAAACAAATATAATAAAATTTAGCAATTCAGAATTCATCTGTCTCATCATAGAGTGAAATCTGCATCAATATCAAGCAAATAATACATTGTCTATCTTCTCAGCTAAGAAATATTTCTCCTGAGGTTATCTTAAAACAAACAAATGATGTAAATAAGCATGGTACAGTTCATTTTTAATGCTTACCCTAAATTCTCTTATAAGCCATTTTAGATTTAAGGACTGCAAAGTCAAAGGCTCCATACACCAAAGGTTGTCTTGACCTTGAGAAGTGGGACACATGTTGAGTTGCCACCCTCATTCAGCAGACAACTTTTCAAAATTTTTTTTTCTCTAATTAGGATTTTGATTGAATTTTCTACCAAATTAGTTATAAAAAAAACACATTAGTAACACTTGCATCAGTAAAACCATTATGATCTTCCCCCAAAATTCTTACAAAAAAATAAAAATATTTTCTGGCTTTAAATAAAATGCAAAGGGTTGAGAAGTCGTAGAAAATGAATCAATTTTATTTTATTGTCATGGTGAGAGAGTAAAAGTGTATGGGGTGAAATCATAGGCTTTTATTTAAGAGCCCTTAGAATCTGTAGCCCTCAATTCCTGCCCAAAGAGAAATACATTGAAAACACCTTCAAAATTATTTCCAACACAATGCCAAAAGTTAAAGCCTACAAAATCCAAATATCTATATAAAAACTATATAGCTATAACTATAAAATCATTACTATCAAGATTACAACAAAGTACAATTCTGCATGTGAAAATCTTTTTTTAAACACACTGCAATGAGTGCGTTGGTTTAACCAGTCAATTATTTACTAACTGTACAACCAATTTCTGTTTGGCTCAACAATTTGATTCTTAATTCAAAGATTCTGAAATATGACATATTGCCATATGAGTGAGTGAAATAAAAGAACATTACTTCCCACTTCAAGCTGAAAGTGTTGCCAGATTTCCTAACAGTCACTGTGTTTGCTTCCTTTTTTATGGAAAAGCAAAGGGGCTGATGAACCAAGTGTGTTAAGCACCTTTTATACTATGAGGATAGTCGTAGCTGATGGACGGCACACAAGTCTATCTGATCAATATCGACTGAGTTACCGTAGAGGAGGGGTATGATGCCATAAGGCCCAAAACCCCTAATGATCCTCAGCTAAAAACATCACTGATGATGTGTGTCAAGACATCAAACAAATGTATTTCATGAAAGCCATCAAGAAGTCCACAATGCAACATCATACATGTGTGTGTATGCTTACTCTATAATGAGACAGGATTGTTTATGCATGTCAGTGTATATATATATATAAAATCAATTTAATCCAACTAGGTGATAATGTCACTAAGACACAAGGGGTTACTGTTAGTGAAAGAGAATGAGAAGACTTTAGAAGGCACCAAATACCCAATCCTAAACAGGAAACAAGAGAGAAACTGCTACTCCTGTTTAAAAAAACAAAAAACAGGGAGGAGCGTGAACCAGACAATAGGCAAGCCTATCTACTCTCGTACTGTGTATGCAATGTCTCAGTTTGACTGATTAAGGATTCTATTATTGAATTTGTTATTGTTTCTCCAAAGTCATGGAATGGCTCCATTTTTGTTTGTAACACATTCAGATAAAAAACAAAAAAACAATGGACACATTCAAGGGGAGAAAAAAACCCATCTACATTGACAATTACATCCTCAATATGAAGACACAATTCAAAATCCCAGAGATTTGGGCCTTACCGCGGATCTTTAACCAGCAAGCGTTTCATGAAGTCAATAGCCCCATAGCTGATGTGTTCAAACAAATAGTCAGGGAAGTCCAGATTCACTTGAGATATATTCAGAAAAGTCTCTTGTTTTGTATCTCCTCCAAATGGAGAACAAGCTGTCAACATAACATAGGTAAGTACACCGAGACTCCTGGAAAAAAAAAAAAAAAAAAAAAACAGAGAAAGAAAAAGTATTAATATAATTTATTTATTTGAGTATTAAGTTATTAAAATATCTTGAGACATTATGGAAGTAAAGTTATTTTTTTTAGATCTTAATTCAATGACCTAAACCCCAAAATATTGGATTTTCTATTGGCAGATTTGGGAGCTTTTTATTCTTTCTGGCATCTAAATTACATGATCTGCTATCTTTCCTGGAATATCTAGTTAAAACACAAAACAAAGAATCTTTTATAGGTTTTCTGAACGGTTTCTTCAATTCCTAATTCAAAAAGGATCCAAACATGTTCCAAAAGAATTGAAATCAAAAGACAAGGGACATTTAGATTTTACAATTTGATATTCTAAAATCTTTTTTGCTGCATGGCACAAAACCCTATTTGCTATGAATATTTAAAGTGGTCACTCCAGGAGAAAAGATTTCTGAACTGATCAGATTGATAGAAATTAAACAACTATGGATGAAAAATATTTCTCTTGGATTTTTATTGTAAATAAAGTAACTGTCGATGAGAAAATTTTTATTAAAGGTCAGCTGACTAAAATAATAATAATGGTGTCTGCCTACTTATGTCTGAAGAAGATGCAGGTGGCCTAATGGAATTGGCAAAAGGGGTTCAAACTCCACCTGAGACATTTTGCATTTGTACTAATACCCTTGAGAAAAGTATAAACCAAGTTCTCCCTAGGGCTGTTAGAGCTCTTTAGCTTTGTAAGGCAGTAGTAGCTAAAATTGAGCATTTGTGACCAGCTCACTCTGATAAAAAATTAACTTCCTATTGAAATACCAACAATATCTGAAGTGACTCATTTACATAGAAAATCACAAAGACTATAAATAGCTATGGCTATTACCCATGAGGTAGTTGAGTGCATATTACTTCCCACACTATAATATCTCTTAGTGTGGTTGCAGCCCACAAGGATTGGTTGATTTTTCTATGGCCTATCAACCCCATGCAAGTTATTTAAAGCCAGAAAATATTTTTAGATTGTAAGAATTTTTTTTGATAGAGGTCAGGGTTTAGTGATACAAGATTTTCTAATTAACCCATAGCTGGGGAGAGAAGAGGTGAATTCATATCTTCCCCAAGGATAAGTGAATATAATGCACCCAACATGAATTGAAACTCAGATCACCAATTAGCAATTCCAAGCCATTATCCATTACACCACCTGCACATCCAAGCTTACAGCACCTGGTATTTCCAAGTAGTCACCCATATAGGTGCTAACTGGACGATGTTGCTGAACTTTGGTGATTGTATGGGAACCAGTGTTTCAACCTGATGTTGCCATAAGTCCACATGCCATAAAGAGTCTGCAGGAATATGCGTGTGTGTGTGTGTATTGATTGCTTAGATATTACTTTGATATGTAAAGAAAAAGTCAGCAGACTTTCAAAGCAGATATGGGCTTTTGAAAAGAAATGAATGAGAACATGTGCATTCTTTAAATGGGTAACTGAATCTTGCTGTGCAGTGGCACTCTCTATGGCTGAACAGCCTAAAACCTGCCAAGTCAGATGAGGGTTTCCTTTACTAAAAGGCCAGAGATCATACTTTCTTTATTAGACTTCTCAGATACACAGGCTAGTGGATATAATTCACACTGTTTAAAAGGAATTGGACATCTACTCAAACTGTGTTTTTTATATATATATATATATATATATATATACACACACACAATGAGGGGAAACAAATATTCGTACACATACAAATTTTTAATTTATTGTATTTCCAACTAATGAATAAACATACTTTTCATATAATTAACTGTACACAGATGCATAATAACTAAATATGCATAAGAAACAGAAAAGATTTTGATTTAACAAAAATAAATCCCATTTATCCATTTTAATGGGTGAAAAAAGTATTTGTACAATACAAAAACGAATACATAATCTTCATTTGATACTTTGTAGAATAGCCATTATTCCCTTCTGCAGCAACCAACCTCTTCTTGTAGTTCTCAATTAATGATTTGCAAATTTTAGTTGGTACTTTATTCCATTCTTTTTCACATATGGTCTTCAGATCCAAGATGTTTGTTGGAGCTCTCGGCTGGATTTGAATTTTCAAATAATGCCACAGATTCTCGATTGTGTTTAAATCTGAGGACTGACTTGGTCATTTCAGGATATTTATATTATTTTCAGCAAGGTATTTCTTTGTATATTTTAAAGTGTGCTTAGGATCATTATCTTGTTGAAAAATCCAATCAGGAGAAAGTTCAAGATTTTCAATCAAAATCATTTAAATTTGTTTCCAAAATATTTTGATATGCTGTGGCATTCTACCATCTATTAATAATATGTTCCCAGTACCTTTTGCAGAAAATCATGATGCTGCCACCACCAAACTTCACTATTGGAACTATGTTCTTTTGTTTGAAGGTATTGCCATCTTTCCTCCATACATGATTTCTAGAATTATGTCCAAACAACTCTATTTTGGTTTCATCTGTCCATAATACTCTTTCCCAATACAATTTTTCCTTATCATTATATTCACAAACAAATTTCAATCTGACATCTGTGTCTTTTCAATAGCAGTGGAATTTTCTCTGAGGGGAGCATCACTTTAGATTGTTCCTATGAATTGCTTATTATCTGTTTAGTGACACAGATTCCTGATGAAAGCAAATCATACTGCAACCCTTGACAAGTAACCATTAGATTTTGTTTAATTTGACACATTAATTTCCTCAAAGATCTTTAAGAAATCTTCAGCGGAGCACCTGTTCTTCTTTGGTTTCCAACAGTTTTGAGTTTTTCATACCTTGCAATGAATGAAGTAATGGTAGTAAATGGAATATTCAAGTTGTCTGAGATTTTCCTGTAGCTTTTACCTGTTTTCCAGAGCTTAACAATCAGTTCTTTTTGTGAATGTCAATTCTTTACCTCTTGTCATGAAGATAACCTTCTTGCACAAATATCAATTACAGATTGTTTTGTTTGTATTTTTTAGGCTAAAAATAACTACTGATAATATTATTGGAACAGTCTAGAATATTCCACTTGAATAATCTAGAGTATTAAAGTAATTTAAAAGTTTTAAAATCTGAAATTTGCATTGTACAAATACTTGTTTCACCCATTAAAATGGATAAATGGGATTTATTTCTATTAAATCAAATTTTTTTCTCTTTTCTATGCATTTTTAGTTATTATGCATCTGTGTACAGTTATTAATTATAAGAAAAGTATGTTTATTCATTAGTTGGAAATGCAATAAATAAAAAATTTGTATGTCTGAATATTTGCTTCATCCCACTGCATGTATGTGTGTGTGTGTGTATATATATATATATATATATATATATGGGTGCATGACCCAGTGGGTAGAACATTTGCTTTCTGAACATGAGACACAGGTTCAAATTTCACCATGGTTGATTTGTCAGGAAGTAGACTACCTGATGTTATCGGATTGGAGGGGCCTATCACAGTGTGCGACACCTTTGGAAAGGGCCTGAAAACCATACCACGGGTTGACTCAAGTCTTGTGAGTGAAATTGGGTAGACGGAACTCTTGTGGACTGTCAATAGCTGCGCTAGCACAAAGCCACAAGTCATCGTGAGCAAGGTCTTGAGCGTGCTGGCCTTGTTCAAATTGTTGATCACGCTAGATAATATGTTCTCTCCCAGAAACTTTAACTAAGGTTTGCTCAGCATAGTTGCAGTATAAACCACAGGTGGGCTCTGTGGGTGTTGAACAAACATAAATGTACTTGAGCAACTGTCTGCAATAGGGATTGGCTAGCTGCCCTAGTAGATGTGTATCCTCGAATACGAGTGGCCAGCTATTTATATATATATATATATATATATATATATATATATAAAATAAAAAGTGTGTGTTTGTGTGTACACTCACACAGTGGAGTGTCTGCTGTCTGAATGATACAGGTAAGTAGTATTTTGTTTGGATAATTGATCCAATCTTAAAAAAATAAACCTATACATATAAAAAGAAGCACGTTTTAAGAATTTACATTAATTAATTGATAAAATATGATTAAAAATTCATATTTTATTTTACAAATAAAATCATTAACTGTAGTTTAGCCCTTTGAAACCTGACCCCCTGAGGAGTATGGCATATGCCCTTTCACACAGTGGCAGGTATATTGGCCAATCAGGTTTAAATTGTTAAATAACAAAAATATAGGACTGAAAATTAAAAGAATCCTGATGTAATTATGTAAAATACATTTATTTATGTGTGCAGGAAGTACACTTGAGTTTGTCAGAGATACTAAGTTCATGTAAATAAAGTTCATTGAAGTAGTGATCAATCATTGTTTTATGAGGAAAAAAAAATCCAATCGCTGTTACTTGAGGGTCTTATGTTTCTTTGTTTTTGCAAGCAATAAAACTGAATGAAGACAGCAAATTGACAGTCGACTTAATCTTGTGCTTCATGTCACTCCAAGAAAACTTGCAAACCTTCAATATCATTGTTAATGACAATTGTATAATGGCCTCAGTATCTGCCTCATGGTGTTTTTTACTAAAGGCCAAGTCATAGTGCAACGAACATTCAAAACTCACTCAAATCTCATCATTCCACTGGGAGCAAAGATTTTTAGTTTCAGTTTGGGTTTGTGGTAGTTTGCTGCTGTAGTTGACTTAAGAAATGTTTGCTTTTTACATTTGGAATAACTTTAGCTTATTTAATTGAAGTAAGTATAAGATTTATTTTATTTCCTTTGGACGTGCATTTTACATTTTCATTGCAAAAAATAAATATTTTTTGTGCAAAATTCACTAAAAAAATGTAATTTAGAAAAATAATTTTTGTGATATGGAATTTTTAAATAATTTTCTACAGCTTCTCAATTCTTTGTTGGTTATTTAAAGCCAGAAAACATTTTAAGAATTTTTTTGGAAATTTAGTTGGAAGTTTAGTTATACAAGTTTTACTAATTAACCCATAGCTGAGGGAGTAGTGGTGGGTT